AGTATCTCTAGACATATTATTTATGCAAATGCTTTTTTTAAAGAAAAAACAAAGGAAGCAAGAAAGTATTCAGAATATGGTGGTATCTTTCCATAAAACCAAGAAAGTGGTTGCTAGCTTGTCTCTGTCACTACCAGAACGATTTCAACCAAATTACTTCAAATAGGAACTTGAGATCCACCATTAACAATTTTAATTTATAGTGCCAATTAAGGAGCAATTTGATTTCCAAGTACACTGTCACACAAATAGTTTAGATTGGCCTGTGAACAAACCAAGGATCCAATAGAATTTTGGAGCTATCTGACCCCTCATTTTATACATGAGGAAACTGAGAACAAAGAGACTTGTCCCAAAACAGACAACTAATTTCATCACTGTTAAAAGAGGAAAGAACTCAACCTTCTTGCTCCTTGTCCAGGCCTCTGGTAAATTCAATTTATTTCTTCTAACTACTTTATAAATATCATCTGTGGTTCTTGAAAATTCCCAAGTGGTTCTGGAAAATATTCGTTTTCCAATCCCATTTCCAAATCACCTGATTAAAAAGAATTCCACATTTTTAGGTTGGATACAGTAGAGAATTCACAGAACTCAGCATGGTGAAGGAATTTAGAAACTGTTTGTCTAACATAGAAAGAAAGAAGGAAAGAAGGAAAGGAAGGAAGGAAGGAAGGAAGGAAGGAAGGAAGGAAGGAAGGAAGGAAAAGAAAGAAAGAAGGTAAGGAAGAAAACTTAAGTAACTTGCTACATCCAATGAGTCAGACACAGTCCAGAGTGGAACCCAACTTTGCTAACCCCCAGGAGAGTAGCCCCCTCTTGGGGGAAATCAGAAGGGGAGACAAACCATGAGAGACTGTGGACTCTGAGAAACAAACTGAGAGTTTTGGAGGGGAGGAGGGTAGGAGGTTGGGTGAGCCTGGTGGTGGGTATTGTGGAGGGCACGTATTGCATGGAGTACTGGGTGTGGTACATAGACAATGAATTTTGGAACAATGAAAAGAAATAAAATAAAATGGGGGAAAAAAGTCACTATGATCCTACAGAAAGAATACATACTAAGTGGGTGACATTGGGCAAGTCATTAAACTTCAAAACTAAGTTTCTTCAAATATTAAATAAACATGGGTCAATCAGGTTAGCTCTGAAGTTTCTTACTTATATCCATGATAATTGGAATTTTTAAGACAGGATTCAAATGCACCATTAAATCACGGGATCCCAGTGGCAAAATGAAATACTGCAGTCCAACTCTTTGAGTAGCTTCAAAGAGCTACAGAGAAGGAGAACGTAGACAACCAGCAGAGAAGAGAATGGAGTTCAGGAACTCCTTGTCATGGACCCAAATCTGGAAAAGTAGAACTAGCTGGGAATCTGTGGTTTTAGATTCAGCAAAGTCCTTCAGAAAGTTGCCATGTGCCATAATTCCACACCTACCACAGGTTCCCAGGAAGTTTGACATCTTGTTTTCACCTCTTACTATTCCTTCCCACTAATGTTCTGGGAATGCCCCTAATACAGCTGGACAACTAATAACAAATTATATAAATCATACATGCTATTAGGACCAACAGTTTGGTTTCCTTTAAAACAGCATTCGATAGTTGGTAGTTGTTAAAACAAAAGACCTAAACAATAATACCTAAGTCTGATTCTGCCATATTTAAGGACATAGTAACACGAATGTAATCAACCTATTTCTGGAAAATCATGAGAGGCAGACCTCAAAGGCCTGTTTCTAACTCATTCCTCAGCTCACATTTTGCTATTAGGCAATTCTTGCTAGCAGGCATATAATTAATACCATTACTTATGTCTTCATAACCTCAGTTCAAATAACTGTAAGAAAGCACCTCTACTAAATCTCTTCATACCGAATTCTTTACCTACAGTTATTCACTCTGTTCTTCCTTCAAATGCACCCAATTCTTTCCCACCCATCGTCTGTTTTTCTTTCTCTCTTTGCCCTAAAAATATTTACTGATAGGGCATAATACTTACTAAAGGCCTGAACAATAATGAAATACCGTCTTATCTCCATCCCCAGAATCTTCCACTGATCTCATCAGTTGTATGCTTATCTACTTGATATGTTTTATCCTTTAAGCTTCTAAGTGGATTTTCATAAATTCTAAGTAGAGACACCTTTGGGATAAAATATGTTTTGAGTAGGTAAATCCTAAATTTGGGCAGGATAAATGGTTTAGAGCTCCCTACGAGTACCCTAAAGGTAGGACTGGGGCTAGGGTGTCACTGAACACATTGGCACTGGTGGGAAAACCAAAGAGGAAAGAACTGATCACTGGCATAGGTTTCTGTCCCTTTTTCCAAGCTGGTGAGGGTAGAGGGGAAAAAAGGAGACAAATAAAAAAACTGAGCTAGATTTGGAGGATCTGGAGGATCCAAGAATAGGCCTCAAGACACAGAAAGCTAGGTAGGGAAGTTCCCCATTCCCATTCCACACTCAGGACAGTAAGATGCTCTAGAAGTAAAGCAGAAAAACTAGCCTAATATACTTGGGCAATGAGGACTTGACATTCTCACTGATTATTCCAGAAGTTTCAGACCATCTGATTCTACTACCACTAGAATCTACTGTCAGTGGATGCTATGTGTACTAACGAAACCATAGGCAACAACAAGACCATGGACACCATAGTGAATTTAGCAGTAGTAGAAGCCAGTAACTCATAAGGAGGTGAAGACAAGTCCCATTTCAGGAGAAGCCAACAGTAGGAGGGGGACCACGTACCAGATGGTCCCCCCCAACAATGACAAAGAAGCTTCCTTGAATCCCACTGCCACCTAGCAGAGAAGGAAAAGTGGCAAACAAATATAAAGTGCCATGTATAAAGAGACTAGGCTTACATGGAAGGAACTAGCAAAATGAAGGCAAGAAGTCAGGCACTAAACTGAGTTAAGATAAACACTTAAAAAAGCACCTTTCCTGCGATTTCCAGCATGGGCTGGGAAGGGGAGACAGTATGGGTGTGGACCTCTGGTGAAGTCTGCCCCAGCCACAGGCCCAGAACACAGTCCCTCTGTGACTCTGAAGCCTAAGTCTGGGCCTGGCAATACATCCCCTGCAGCTGCACAGGACTCCCTTGGCAAGGCCCCACACACCCTGCATGTAGCCCCTGCGGCCCAGAGAGTCAAACACGAAGCAGTCAGTCTCTCTACAAGCTCTCTGTGGCCTGTGGGCTCTAAAGTCCTCTGTGTCTTCTGCCCCCACCACTGCCAGGCTCCCACACCCAGCCCCTATGTACTAATCATCTGCTCCCTGTCTGCACTCAAGAGTAGCCTACAGTCTGCGCAGCAACTCCAGATCAGTCCCAGCCTCGCCAAACTGGTGAACTTCTCCGCTACCTGGTGGCCAAACCATACCTTCTTCATCAAGGTCTGTGCCCCTTCCAAGTATGTCCTTACTTGGACACTCTCTCAGCTCTAGAGTATCACCTAAAGTTTCTTTATATCTTACAGGTGTTCTTTCCACATAGTTGACAATTCTTTATGTTAAACTTCCCCTGATTAACCTAATGTATAATTTGTTTTTTAAGATTTTATTTATTTGTCAGAGAGAGAAAGAGCACACAAACAGAGGGAGCAGCAGGCAGAGGGATAAGCAGGCTCCCTGCTGAGCAAGGAGCCCGATGCAGGACTCTATCCCAGAACCCTGGGATCATGACCTGAGCCGAAGGCAGACACTTAAGCAACTGAGCCACCTAGGCATCCCCAATATATACTTTCTATCTCCTAATTGGACCCAGAGGGCTACATCTACCTGTCTCAAAATCTGAGTCTACCAATATTTCCACTTTCTCCATTTCTTCTCTATCCCTTGGACCATTCCCAGCCCTTCATGTCTCTTTCCTATAGAGGTGGTCTTGTACAACCTTAGATCTATTTTATAAACCCTCCCCCCAAATATCATTTGTCAACTTAGAAACATATAAGGGTTCTCTCCTTCCCGTCAGATCAAATATGAACTCCTATGCTGAGATTTTAAGGACCTCTGTGACCTGGCCTCACCAGCCCCATTGCACATAAGGTATACTTCATGCCAGGTAAGAGTCATATAGGTGCCTAGCCCTCCTGATACCACATCCTACTGCCATGTCTGTGTTTATGCTCCTCTCTTCTCCCTCTTTTACCACTTATCCCAAAACCTTCTGGGGCCAGTTCTAAGAGGCTCCATCCAAGAATTCTTTTGGAAACAATTTCTTCCTATGCTTTTGTCTGCATTGTCCTCATCACATAATTAGCATCTCATTATACCCTGTCTTTGTCCTCCAACTAGAGATACAATCTCCCAGATTAATGCTGTAATATGCTTCTCTAATTTATTCATGGCTATTACCCTAACTTATTTTCAACTATATTTGTCTTACACAACTTTACTACTCTTCGCATAGTGGTAAGTTCAATGTTACATGATGGGAAAAGCAGACTAAGTCAAATAGTTTTCATCCTATGTAACAGTTATGGATAGGATCACTGTGAGGCTATATAAAATCTTTCTACAGGTTAGAAAAAGGCACCCCTTCCTCCAAACTGATGCAGCCTCACATCTGGTTACATAGCTTGGCAAATGGAGCCCAGGCAGGATTTCAACTCAGCCCTATACAACTGTACATGGCAGCACTGGATTCATTTATATATCACCGACTAAAAGAAGAGTCAAAGTGTATTATAAAAGAACTTTCGAAGGATGTTTTCCATTCAATTGTTTTAGTAGAATTTTATGCTACTATATATCTACTATATATATATAATCCTAGATAGTGTCTCTCAACTTGGGTATTAGATTAGTTTTATGGCAAATTTCATGTATTAGTTGCTATCTCATATAATTCTTTTCATGACTAATATTAATTGGGGGTCTAAGTCTATGCTAGGCTCTGGAGCTAGGCCCTGTGGAACAAATATAGTATCTGACTGGTTTACAGCTCAGTGAATCAATCTATATTGAGAAGAACATAATTTTCTCATGTTATACTTACTAATAAACTTGTTTTGCATAGTCTCCAACAGTGCTTGGTGAGCATCTTCAGCTTGTAAAGCGTGTGAACATTCTCTAGCCAGTATGGTGCGCACAAGATGCTCCCCACATCCTAGAAATAAAAGGAAACCAAGAATGGTTGAAGAAAAGCAGTGCTAAACATCCTTGTCTTATTAGCATTAAAACACCCTTAAATGCCACTTAAGAAGTAGCTGTTTTGGAGAATAATTCAGTGATGGATGAAATGACTTCTATGAGCAATCTAGAATTTTGGTAATAAACTCAGCATAAAATAAAGAAACAAGTAACTGTCTAATATCAAAAGGAAACAGAAAAATAAAAGAAAACCTCTTTTTTATAGGAATGATTTACATGACGTAGCAATTCAGATTCTCTGCATAGGAATCTCCAAGGCTTCTGTGTCATTTCCATTATTGGGTAAATACAGAAATTCTGTTTTATAATTTATTTTTAAATAGTCCTAGTCTCCCATTTTGCCTCTGGCACTCCACACACCTGGAAGCATGGGAGAAATCTACACAGCCAGGGGAAATCTAGATCTCCATCTACCTACTTTTCACTAAAATGTCCACCACACCTCAACAGCTGCAAAGTGGACCAATAAAGCAGCACTTTTCTCACCTTTTAATAGTAACTTACATAGCCTTCATGCATGAATACCCTGTAATTCTTCAACAACAACAAAAAAAAGAGAATGCATTTTTAAATCCCTGGAGTAAACTAGGACCATTCAGACACACTAAGGGTAGGCATGATGGCGACGGGAAGCACTGCCTAGAATTCCATTACAATTTGTATCTGTTAAAAGTAGAAACTGCCTGCCAAAGACAAAAGACATTTAATTCATTGGTTAATAAGTTCAAATAAGAGATTTCTGAAGAAGCTGATTTTTTTGCTTAGATAAACAAAATTAAAAAGCTACTTTCATAAACACTGGAAGGGTAAACCTTTTAAAAAAAAACTACTAAGGGGCAGGGCATCTGGACAGGTCAGTTGGTTAAGTGTGCCACTCTTGGTTTTGGCTCAGGTCATAATCTCATGGGTTGTAAAAGCAAGCCCCACATTGAGATCCACACTCAGTGGGAAGCCCACTTGAACATCCTTTCCCTCTGTCCCTCCCTACTATGTACATACTCTCTCTCAAATAAATAAATCTTAAAAAAAAAAATACTAAGTGCCACTTGAAATATTTATTATATATAAAATAAGTTGCATTAACTAAAATGCAAATATCCTCTTACCCAAAGGAGAACCGTAGATATATAAGACCTGCTTCCTATCTCTTAAAAAATGAAATCTTGAGGGAAGCAGCGCAGCGTGGACACTGTCTGCCTAACTTGCTTACACCAAGTCCCACACACCTATGCTCTGGTGGTACTGTCCTTCTCAGTCAAGCTTGCTTCAGTCCCCGTGGGACAGGCCCTCAGGTAGCAGAAACCCCTACCCACATCACATGTCCCAAACAGAGAGTTCTACAGGGCCTCTGTTCTGGTAGAGTTGATATCAGGGTCATTTCACAAGCAGACCAGAGCACACCTAGTTAAAATTCGCCACAGTCAGGCCAGGAACCAAACATTGCCCACAACAAAGGAGAGCCTCTGCAGATGACTGGCCTGAAGGACAGAGCTGCCAAAACACAACAGCACAGTGTATACAGCATACATGGGAGATACTCCCTGAAATGTCAGACCCTGAGCACTACATGACCTCTTCTTCATAAGGCCATTACTTTCAGGAGCAGGAGACATAACAGGCTTTTCTAACACACAAAAGAAGGCAAGAACTTAAGACAAAATACCAAGATGGAGGAATTTATCCCAGATGAAAGAAAAAGATAAAGCCACAGCCAGAGACCTAAGTGAAACAGATATAAGGAGCATGCCTGAAGGAGAATTTAAAGCAACAATCATGATACTTGCTAGGTTTGAGAAAAGAATAAAAGACATTCTATCCCTCACAACAGAGATAAAGGAGTTAAAAAAGAATTAATGAGAGATGAAGAACACAATAAATAAGACTGTAAATAGGCGCGATGCAATGAATAGCAGGCTGGAAAAGGCAGAGGAATGAATGAGCGATCTAGAAGACAAATAATGGAAAATAATAAAGCTGAACAAAGAGAGAAAGAATTATGCAACTTGAGAATAGACTGAGGGAAATCAGTGACTCCATCAAATATAATAAATTAATATCTGAGTCCCAGAAGAAGCAGAAAGAGAAGGGGGGCAGAAAATTTATTTCAAGAAATAACAGCAGAAAACTTTCCTAATCTGCAGAAGGAAACAGACATCTAGATCAGGAGGCACAGAGAACTCCTATTAAAATCAACAAAAGCAGGCCAACACCAAGACATATTGTAATTAAATCTGCAAAATACAGTGATAAGGGAAAAATCTTGAAAGCAACAAGACAAAAATAAGTCCTTAACTCATAAGGGACAACCCATAATGGTAGCTGCAGATTTCTCAACAAAAACTTGGCATGCCAGAAGAATGTGGCATGATATACTCAAAGTGCTGAATAGAACAAATCTGCAGCTAAGAGCACTCTATCCAGCAAGGCAATCATTCAAAATAAAAGGAGAGATAGAGTCTCCTCGACAAACAAAACCAAAGGAGTTTATGACCACTTAACTAGCCCTGCAAGAAATATTAAAGGGGAGTTTTTGAGTGGAAAGGAGAGATCAAAAGTGATAAAGATAAGAAAGGATCAGAGAAAATCTCCAGAAACAATGACAAAACAAGTGATAAAATGGCAATAAATACATATCTATCAATAATTACTCTGAATGTATGGGACGTTTGGTGGCTCAGTCGGTTAAGCCGCTGCCTTCAGCTCAGGTCATGATCCCAGGGTCCTGGGATTGAGTCCCGCATCAGGCTCCTTGCTTGGCAGGGAGCCTGCTTCTCTCTCCACCTCTGCCTGCCACTCCGCCTGCTTGTGTGTGCATTCTCTCTCTCTCTGACAAATGAATAAATAAATAAATAAATAAAATCTTTTTTAAAAAAATAATTACTCTGAACGTAGATGAACTAATTGCTAAATGCTAACTAAATCAAGAAACGTAGGGTGTCAGAATGGATAAGAAAAAAAGACCTATCTATATGCTGCCTACAAGAGACTAGATTTAGACCTAAAGACACCTGCAAATTGAAAGTGAGGGGGTGGAGAAATATTTAATACGTAAATGGGTGTTAAAAGAAAGCCAGAATAGCAAAAACTTACATTGGACAAACTAGACTTTTCTGTTCTTGTATTATTTTTTGTCTTTATATTTTTTAAATTTTTTTCAAAGATTCTGTTTATTTATTTGAGAAAGAGAGAGAAAAAGATCAAGTACAAGCAAGGGGAGCAGCAGGCAGAGGAAGAGGGAGAAACTCAACAGGGAGACGGATGCAGGGCTTGATCCCAGGATCCTGGGATCATGATCCAAGCCAAAAGCAGACGCTTAACCAACTGAGCCACCCAAAGGCCCGTATTGTGTGTGTGTGTGTGTGTGTGTGTGTGTGTGTGTGTGTGTGTGTGTTTTAAGATTTCATTTATTTTAGAGAGAGATCATGCACAAACAGGGGGAGGAGCAGAGGGAGAGGAAGAGAGAGAACCTCAAGTAGACTCCCTGCTGAGTGTGGAGCCCAGCATAAAGCTGGATCTCCCCAGCCAAAATCAAGAGTTGGACACCCAACTGACTGAGCTACTCAGGTGCCCCTGTTCTTGTACTGTTTTTATCCTGCTTTGGTATCAGGATAGTAAGGGTCTCATGGAATAATTCTGAATATGTTCCCTCTATTCCACTGTTTGTAAGATTTTGATAAAGATTATGCTGGAAGATTCTTGATTCCTAATTCAACTTTCATTCTTGTTATTGGTCTAAAAAGATTTCCTACTTCTTGGACTTAAGATTCATGGTGAATCTTAGTAACCTGTGCATTTTTTGGAATTATCTGGGCTTTTTTTCTAAGTTAATTGATTTGTTGGTGTAAAAATGTATACAGTAATCTGTTATCATACTATGTGTTTCTGTGGTTAACTGCTGTATTGTTTTCTATTTCTCATTTTGGCTTTTGAGTCTTCTCTCTTTTTCTTCTTACTTAATGTAATTAAAGCATTGCCAATTTGGGTTTTGTTTTTTTTTTTTTAACTAGTCATTACTTTCAGTATTATGTTATTGTGTAGTCTAGTCTCTATTTTACTTAAAATTTCTGGTTTTTCTTTATTTCCTTCCTCTACTAATTTTCAGCTAATTTTCTTTTTTCTAGCTCCTTGTGTAATGTTATTTGAATTTTTTTCTTAATACAAGCACTTATAGCATAAATTTCACTCTAACATTTGCTTTTGCTGCATCCCATGAGTTTTGGAATATTATGTTTTCTTTTGTTTTGAGGCATATTTTGATTTGCCATTTGATTTTCTATTGGCCCATTGCTTGTGCAATAGTGTGTTGATATTTACATATTAAATATTTAATATTTATCCTGTAGATTTTCCATCTTTTATTGTTGATCTTCAGTTTTTTACCACTGTGGTTGGAAACTATAATTGGTATGCTTTCAGTCTTCTTAAACTTATAATATTTGTTATGTCTCTTTTTATGTGATTTAACCAGGGGATTTCTTCTGCATATACTTGAAGAAAATGTGTACTCTATTTTTCTTGGATGGAATGTTTTATATCAATCTCTTAGAACCACATATTCTGAAGTATGCTTCAAGTAAAAAATGTTCTTGTTGAGAAAAAAATTAAAAGCTCACCTTCAAAAAATCCTGCCAAAGGTATTCCATTAGTTTATTAGAAATTAAGTTCTACATTAATTCACATAATGAGTAAAGGGTATCAAAGGATCTGAGCACCTACTGAGACTAAAGGAGAAGTATGATTCAACTTCTAGTCAAAAAATTCACACTGAAAGAAGGAGCATCTCTACCATCCACTCAGATTCCCCCACAGGTCCAGGGACAACGTAATGTTTTCTCATATTACTAATGTGCACACACACACACGCATGCACACACACACACACACACACACACAAACACTACACTGGTAAAGGTTCTTAGCAATCAAAAAGAAATGTGGGCTACAATTATCAAATGG